GCACAATGGTGAGCCGCTAGACCTGGTGATATGTCAAATCTAGGTTCTAAGTCCTCTGCCTGGTACCGACGTGTTCAAGACCTTGGCAAGAATGACGTACCACAGGAAAGATTGTCCTAAAAGATTTACACACTACTATAACCAAGGCTAAGTTCTCCTCCCTCTGTAAAGTTGATTGCCTTTTCTTTCTATTACAGGTGAAGCTGCTGAGATCTTAGGTAGGTGGTCCGTACTGGAGTGTTCCTAGGCAGAGCTAGTTTTGGTTTTCAACAAGAATAAGGGACAAGAGATGGTTGCGGCCTAACCGTTGCACAATGGAGTGCACCACTTGGTTTTTTGCCCTACCGGCCTTAGAAACTTGATTGGTAGCGTTGCTGGCTCTGCACGGCATGGTATGTCACTGTCATGCAACGGGGGGACGAGCCTGGTTTGCCCAAAGTCAGCTAGAAAGCGGCGGGCAAGAAAACACTGGAAAGGAAGGAAGGAAGGAAGGAGGGAGGGAAGAAAAAAGCAATCCATTTGCCCAGCTTGCAGCATCAAGACTCGTCATCAGAAGACTCCACAGAAGACTCCACAGAAGGCTCGCCAATATCATCAGAAGGCGTGTAATAGAGCCCCTTCCGCTTTAAAGCCAGGTACAGCAATGCATTTTCGCCGCTAAACCGCTCCCACAGCCATTCCCGATACATGTGACGACGATTTCGATTCCAGTTCTCAGGAATCAATCCATCGAGAAAGTTGTAACATCTCCATAGCACGTCGATCGGGTTGGGCGGGGTAGAGTCATCTGAGTACTTACACTCCCTGCCCCAAAGCACGTCGCGACGGTGATGGAAGAGGTACGAGCGTGAGAAAGAGATGTGGACAATCCGAGGCTTGGCCGAGCCCGGTCGCTCGACTAGGATCATATGTTGCGCGCAAAAACAGGAGTATCGTACTCCTGCGTGGCGAAGCCTTACAGCCCCGTCCGCGGCCAGGGCCACGAGATCAAGTCGGTCCTTTGTCTCTTTCTCAAAGGCTATCCGTTCGGCTTCGGTTGTCGGTTTCGTGGGAGGGTGCTCGTACAGTTCTTTCAGCGATCGACCATTGAGATCCTCGAGGAGGATAAGGCGCACAGGTCTGCTAACCTGGCGCCCTTCTCTGTCGAATTCGTGGACCAAGGTCCAAGATCCATAATCTGCAACGTTTATAGTTAGTAACTAAGTATTCAGCAATAGGTGGTCAGCACAACGGCGATATCGGCCACAACCACGCACACTTCGCTGCATAATCGCCAGTATTTCCGGTGCGCTCGAGATGCTCGTACACGGCGGCCTCTCGGCTATAAGCACGATCCGCTTCCAAGCTGACATCGGCGGGCTGGCTCATCCAGTAGTCGGTTTTATCGAACCCCACCTCCATGTACATGGCGTCGTAGATTTTGGCCACTGCGTCGAAAGGGGCTCCGTCATCCGGGACTACGTGGCACCGCACTATCTGGGCGCACCATATTTCGTTGGTGCTGAGAGGCTTTGCCGTTATTGTCAAGGTAGCGCTTCGGCTGCTTGACGGGTCGCTCGTCTCACGCGGCCGGCGCTCGACCGGCGGGTATCAGGACGTGTTCGCTTCGTGTCACCCCCTCCCGTGGGTATCTCTCTTCGCGAGGGTGCTTGAACTTGAGTCGCACTCCAAACGGCAGTGGGGGCAAGTGAGTCGTGATGCGAACTTGGAATCCTTCCACGTATGGATTCTTTGGCAGCAATGGGTCCCACATCCCGTAATTGGTGTTCATTTTCTCAGGGTCCATTTTGTCAGGGTGTGTCGAGATTCTAGAGACTTGGCCTGAAGGAGTGTATGTCAACGACGGTGGGTATTTCATCGGGTGTACTCCATTGGGGACAACTGCTGCCTAATGTATGTACTTGATAAGATGTACTCAGATAGGTAGGATGTAGAGCCTCCCCTTGCTGAAGCACGTGACTGTGACAGGCAGGTGGGACGTGTCTGACGACTCTGACCGCTTACACCGTACGCGCTATCCTCAAAACCCCTGTTTTTGCATCTTTTTGCCTGGGGATCGGAAGGACGCGCCTCGGACTTACGAAACGCTTCTTTCGGAAAATCACCAGGTACTTGAAACGACCTTCTTCACCGTGCAAAAATACACAAGGAATTTCTAAGGAGGCAGCACGCTGGAAGGTAGTTGAAGTATTGGGAGAATGTATCTCCATGCCAGTGGTTTGAACTTTGGTCACCTTTTTCTCCCTGTGGTTGTCAACAAAGAAGAACAACAACAGCCAGCGCTTCCGTAAGATGGACGGAATGCAAAACAACCAACCTGCAGATACTGGTCTGGAGTTTGGCCACCAGTGCACTACCACTCCCTTTCGACTTCGCTGTCTGTGCCAAAATTCTTTCAAAAACATTCCATAGCAGCCTGGCATGTGGGCAACATTTTCCGTACGCATAGCTTTAAACGCCAGATGCGGCGCCATTCTCATGTCTACCATATACGACAAGAGTCTACTGTAGTGGAATGCAAGTCTTGTCAGGATCTCCAGAGTTCGGCCAGCGATGCCATCTCATATAACCAAATGCTCACTTCAAAGGAAGAGAGAAGCCTTGTTTCTTCTATAAGAGGGCAGACGGTTGACACATGAATGTCCCAGCAATTTGGCAGACCCGTGCATCAGAAGTGAGCAGACTTTGAAAATATTGCTAGTATTAGTACACAAACACACTTCTCAAGGTAAGACTTCACCCTGAAAAGATTGAAAGGCCTTGAGGTTCACATGGACGCTAACATATGGAATAAGCTTAGAATCCTGGGTTCAGAGGGGAAATGGACTCCAGACACACATACGAAGATTTCTTTCGCGAGGGACCTTCGGAATCAATCAATGCGATCAAGATCAATGCCACAAAGGTCATCACATTCACAAAACCGGAGGAACCAGCCAATCCACCACTGGTCGCCATTCACGACGTCAGTGCCACTGGTTCCAAAGACGGAAAGCCTGCCAGAGGCGCTGACGCATGGGAAGCCAAAGGAAAGAAGGCAATTGAACGGGCCGATTCAGCGTCGCGGAATAAACTGAAGAAGCAACTAGGTCCCGACAGGCTATCAAGGCACGACGAAATATCATCGGAGCAAGATGTCAACTATGCTTTCCTCACCTACTTCCTTGCCCCAGTCAACTGGACCTTGTTGACTGTCCTTGGTCTTGGTATAACAATCCAAGCTGAACACTCATCCCCGAGTGGGTCCGGTAAATACCCAAATCGTTGCGATTTGCTCTATGGATTAAAGGACGAGGGCCGACCCACGCAGACAGCAGCAGTTGTCGAGTTTAAAAGGCTGGGGCATATCAAGGACAGTGAATTTATGAAGGGGTTGCAGGATATCAGCAAAGATAGAGGGGAACAGGAGCTCGTCGACGATATCATATCGAAGACTGGTACTCAAGGGTTATTTCCAGAGGGCCCAGCTATCTCATGGAGCAATGCACAAGATATGCGGTCAGATACAAGACAAGATACGTTATACTCACAGACTACAAGTTCACTGTTCTGATTACATTTCACCGATACAACCCCTTAAGCGGCTCAAGCAGACCAATCCACTCCAGCGACTCCAGCGGGTCAAGCAGCTCCAGCGTCTCCAGCGGCCCCAGCGACCGTACCGAACCTACAGCAGGCGAGGTTTGCAGAATGACGATCATTAGTCAGATGCAATATCAACAACTGCCGCGCATACTGCTCGGTTTCCTAGAGGAAGCGATCAAAGATGCCAGCAAGGGATGACGGCCAGATGGAGCACCGTGCCTTACCCATAGTGCAAAAAGTACACCAAACCCGAGCCAGGTCGAAGATGAGGCAGACTGAAGTCCGAACCGACAAAGAATCGTAACTTGTAAGGCCGTCCCCCTCGCCAGCTCAGTCTCTCGGCCACTTTGAACGTGGGCTAGATAGACTCTTTCTGCCCCCCTTCCGATTTCCTCTTTTGCTTTTCCTCTTTTGCTTTTCCTCTTTTTCTTTTCCTCTTTCTCTTTTCCTCTTTTTCTTTTCCTTTCTTTCTTATTTCTTTTTTTCCTTTGTCCTTTGCCCTTTCCTTTTTTCCTTTTTCTCTTTTCCTGCTTTTGTCTTTTTCTTGTCTTCTCCTTCTTTTTCTCTTCCTGTTTTCCTCTTTCTTTTCATGATTTCCCCCCTCTAATTTTTTGTTTTCCTCCCCTATGCTGTACCCGCCGTTCTACACTATTTGAACTATTTGTTTTTTATAAGGAATGTCTCTGTTTGGTTTCAAACTATTTTGATTACTTCTGCTTTCTTTATTCTACATTGGTTTTGTTTCCACTGTGTCCACTCTATACCTGCAGTGTAGGATGAGCATAGGGTCCTAACTTTAATGCCTTGACTTTGGCGCTTTTTGTGTGTTATCAAGGTTAAAAGTCCTTGCTATATCTACACAACAGTGGAGTGCTAGTGGCACAGGTTATGGTTTTCTTTTTTCCCCTTATCTTTCTTGTTCTTTAGCTCTTCCAGCTTTGTTTGTTTTAGATTAGAAAGAGACCTACGGGTAGCATTGTTACTGCTCTTATCAAGCCTGCATTACTGTTAAGATATCACTGCAGCTTTCATACTTCACTATACAACTGTGAGCATTTTCATGATTCTTTACTATTTATACCGGTCCCCACAGCATTAGGTCAGGGTTAAGAAAGGGGGTTCACCTAAGGGTTAATGGCAATAACTACGTACTCATTCAAACTAAGTCACGTGGTTGAAAGTTTAAAATGACCACCACTCATTCAATAAGCACATAAACCCCCTGAACTTGTGTTACCTAATCTCCTATACTGGACCCAAGCTGTAACCCCTACAAGCGTCACACGACCGACAACTCAACAGAGACATACAAAACATGGTAATCCAGAGCACATTTACACAGAAGAATGGCTTAAACTACCAGGGTCTTTTGACAATAGAGGCTAATGAAAAAGCAACTCGCCATCGATTGATCCGCCCGCTTGGCTAAGTGGTATAGCGTGTCACTAGTAAAGAATGTATGAAGAAACTTGGGAAAAACAAATTTCTCACGATTTTCTTGCAAACTCTGTGCCATGACAAGATCAGCGGTTCGATTCCGCTAGTGGGCAACATTTTTATGATTTTCTGAACCCTTGATGTTGCGCTCTGCAACGGTTGGTTGGCTTTGAAAACATCACTCAATATACAGAGAGAAGACGCTCATGAGCTATATAAGGCTCACCATTTTTTTGTTCCTTTCTTCTGGCATGCAGCATGTTATAAAGGTGCTCTTTAGATATAAAATCTGAGATGAATAAACAATTGGAAGGCCTTGCTCCCGACATATCCCTTTTCTATCCCTGTGTAGAGAAAGCAAGCTGTGCGTATAGCTCGACGGGCCGGTGTCGGCCTGTTGTCAGCTGTGACTATGGCACCGTGCTGGACTACCACCATTTACGGCCTACATGATTACCACCTTGTAAAGAATTCAACTGAGAAAAAGATGCATGCAGTTAGAGACATTTATATCGCTCCCAGGTGCAAAAGACTGATTTATCTGAGGCGTATAATTGTGAGCTAGTGAAGAAACCTGAGATGTTCACTGGTACTGGGAGTTACAGTGCGAAATACTGTGCCACGTATGCTTGTACGTACTTGGCTTTCCGTCTTTGTCAATCCTTCGTAGTCATCAACTCTCATTTTCGAGAGAAAAGAGAAAATAAAGGTTCTGCGCTACACATAATGAGGTACCACCAATCGACTGTATACGGAAGTTCCTAGCCGTTCGATTGTCGCAGGGGCACGTGAGTCGCAACGGACCAACCGTTGGAGGTAGAATAGAGTAACCTACCGCCCACAATCCCGCCCTCGGCCTCAATAGGTACCCAAGGGAGAACAGGTGGGCGTTTTCCCCGCAGCACACCTTCTCATTAACTTTCGGCATTCGAGCAAAAATGGTGCTCAAATCGGTCCTCATCACCGGCTGCGGCCAGGCCGGGATTGGCGCCGCGCTCGCTACCGAGTTCCACATGCGCGGGCACAAAGTCTTCGCGACGGGCATCTCTCAAGCGCAGCTCACGGGCCTTGCCGAGCTAGGGATGGACGTCTTCGAGCTGGACGTGACATCCGCCTCATCGATCGACGAAGCCGTGTCCCGCGTCTCTGAGGTGACGGGCGGGAAACTGGACGTATTGGTCAACAACGCGGGCGTGATCCAGTACCTGCCCTTCGCCGATACCCCGATCGACGACGCGAGGCGCGTTTTCGAGGTGAATGTCTTTGGAGCAATGGCCGTGACGAAGGCTTTCCTGCCTCTGCTCATCGAGGCCGCGAAGCAACAGCGAGGCGGCTATTCGGTGGTCGCGGGTATCGGGAGCATCAACGCCGACCTCCGGCCGGCCCTCTTCGGCGCGTACAACGCGTCGAAAGCTGCGCTCGAGTGCTGGGCCGGCACTATCCGCACGGAGCTCGCGCCGCTGGGTGTGCGCGTCGTCACGGTCAAGACGGGGAGTGTGAAGTCGGATTTACTCGACAATGCGCCGCCGACGCGGCTCCCTGAGGGCAGTCTGTACATGCCGCTCAAGGAATTCATCGAGGGGAGGAAAGTGCTCGAGGGCGGACACTACATGGCCCCAGAGGTTTATGCGAAGAAGGTGGTGAGTGAGTTGTTGCGGCCCAAGGTCAAGCATGTTATTTGGCAAGGTGGCCTCACGACGATCACTTGGTTGCTGAGTTGCTTGGGCTGGGAAGGGATGATGGTAAGTGCTACTACAATCACAAATCGGCGTTTTTTCTGCGCTGTAATACATGCTCACGATTTTGCAGGATAGCTATATGATCAAGGGAAGCCATTTAGGTCAGATACGAGTTTGAGAGTTGTGTGTGCTTGGTGATGAGGAGGGCAGTCCGCCCCGATTAACTCGACATGGTCTGTTCGACCTGGAAGGGTATGGATATATTCAGCTTGATTGATAAAAGCTCTTATTTTTTCTTTTTCCTTCACTCTCTTTCTAATGTTGGTAGCGTTGTGAGGCAATATACTTAAATATTCTGCTTTTCCTCAAACGTTTGAAACTTGAACAAACTCCAGTGTCGGACAAGGATCCGCACTGTGGAATCCGTGTTTGGTTAGTGGTGATTAGTCATCATCCTGTTCTAACCAATCAAACTCGATATATCATCTAAACACTGTCTTGATCGAAGAAGAGGGAAAAGAGGAGGCTCGAAGGCTTTCGATAGAGTATGCTCGTTACCTTCAGAGTCTCCCGGGACGTTTATAATACGCTAGCCGGCTAATTGCAGCTTTCTTGGCTTGTATTTCCCCCAAGGGTCGTATTGCGCATATTAGCCGCGAAGCACAGTACCTGCTACAGTGCCCACCAGTGCCCAACGGTACGGTCGGGGCAATGGCTTGGCCGTACCAATTCGTGACCTTGGATACAGAGGAGGTGCAAGCCCGACGACGACTTTTGGACCGCTATGGCTTGATCGCGCAGCTGTCAACATTCGTTCCCGTCGTCCTGTTCCTCTTGTTCCGTCTCGTGAGCTGGACGATCGCCAAGGCATCGGGGTCCGGCCGCGGAACGTACACCGCTGTTCCCGGCTCTCCAGGGAAGAAGCACCAGCGCCTTACAGCTGCGGGCTTGTGGAGTGCCAGGGCGAGAAGAGTTGTCTGGTGGCTCGGGGACGATGTCGTGGTCTTCGGCTACAATTGGGGTCCTAGGGATCAGATCATTGGCGGCATCGCATGGAGCATCTGGCTGCTTGTCCTCTGTGTAGTGGAGACGGGAAATGGTGAGCCCGCTACCTTCCGACGTCACATTGCTGACAACAGCCACAACGTTGAGGCACATGAAATTTGTGCTAGTGCTAACTCATTTTCAGATTATCTCCACCTTACCAAGCGATTCGGCATTGTCGGCGTGTCTCAGTTCCCTGTTCAGTATCTGCTGTCGTTAAAGAACCTCAACCCAGTAGCGTTGGCGTTGAAGTCCTCGCACGAGGAAGTCAATCGTTGGCATCGCGTGTTAGGTCGGGTCATCTACGCTTTCCTGGTCCTGCACGCGTTCTTCTATCTTAACTTCTACTACCAGAATGACCTCCTCGGGGAGAAGGCGACGTCGCTCGTGCCGGTGCTGGGATTTATTGCTATCCTAGGCATGCACCTGCTCTACGGGACTGCGGTTTCCTTCGTGCGGAAGTTTTCTTACAGAGTCTTCTTCCTCACGCATCTGATCGTGGCGCTTGGGCTGCCGCCGATTATCTACTTCCATGCCCACCATGCCTCTTTCTATGTCTGGGAGGCACTCGCCGCCATCCTCGCCGATATCGCGACGCGCAGAGCCGGCGGGATCGTTGCCGAGACCGAAGTCCAGCTCATTCCCGACTCCGACCTTGTGAAGCTCGTGGGCCGCATCCCGTTGTCCAAGATTGAGCGGTTTGCAAAGAACCCCGGAACCCACGTCTACCTCAGCGTGCCGGCTGCCTCACGCCCAGAGAAGAGCCCTATAGCGGCAGCTCACCTGGTCTTTGAGTTCTCCTTCAACCCCTTCTCGGTCGCTGCGGTGGACGAGAGCACAGGGGAGTTGACGCTAGTTGCTCGGAAGCACGACGGGCCTATGACAAGAGCATTCTCCCACTTCGCAGCAGATGCTTCTAATAATGTGGCTGTCAAGCTGTCGTTCGACGGGCCGTACGGCTGCGCTAAGCGGTTTCCGAATCTCGCAGGCCCGGGCGTCGACCGCATCCTCCTAGTCGCTGGCGGTGTAGGCGCGACGTTCACACTGCCGCTCTATCGCTGGATACTGAGCGAAAACCCGGCGGCGCGGGTCCAGATGATATGGTCGGTCCGGAGCGCCGGCGATGCGACTTGGGCGTCTGTTGCCGGGGAGCAGAAGAGTATCCTGGATGATGAGAATATCCAGGTTTATCTCACGGGTAGTATCAACCTCGGCGATCAAGATGACGCTAGGACGAGTGAAGATGGTGATGGAAACGGCGTAGAGCTAAGAAGCTTGAACCCAGGTCAAGCCCAAACAGTCTCGATGATTAGAGGCAAGAGACCAGATCTGCAGAATATTGTAGACGACACGTTCAGGCAAGGCGTCGAAGAGAGAGTTGCCGTCCTCGTGTGCGGTCCCGAGGCTATGGCGCGCGAGCTGAGATCACATGTCGGCGTTTGGGTTCGCAAGGGTAGATATGTGTGGTGGCATAATGAGAATTTTGAATGGTGAAGATGTGGCTTGGATGGCCAGAGTTAGAAAGATTAGAACATTTCATTTAAGACGGATATAATTCACATTTCTTGCCTTCTGCTTCCATTTTCTTCCCTGCAGTCATCGAGGCAGATTAATATACGATTTGCTATACATACAGTAAATCCACAACGATGGCAAATTGTCAAAATTGTTGAAAGCATACACAGTGTACATAAAGTATGAAACAGTTGAAGCTCCGGGTTCTTTGCCTGAGACTCTAATAAGTGTAGCTAGGGGCTAAATAACATGTACTTTGAACAAACCCTGTTCGATACGCTTACGGAATTCAACTTGGATGTGTTCTTGTCTCCACCTAACTGCCTTAACTCCGTGACAGAGTTAACAAAATGTCTTCACTCCAAAGTCCCCTATGTCTCTGGGTTCTTGGCTGACAGCCCCGCTACCACAGGATCCCTTTCTGTGGTACAGGAAGTTAGCTTGTACTTGCATTCATGGTAACCTGAGGGCTGAGACATTGGCACTGATTGGACCCGAGTTGCTGGGGCCGTATCACCCGCTCCTGTCTATCTGCCATGATTACTGTACTGGGGTTCCCAACATCAGATCAGCCTTGGGCAGTCAGACTTCCCGATACGGAAAGCAACCCGAACCTCGAAACCCGAAATCCGGTCAGGTACGGGATGGCTACACGCCCTTACAGCATACAGTTCGTACTACGTGTAACATTTCATTTTGATAATAAAAGAGCCAGGATGACCTCTTCTCAGAATGTCGCATTCTTACTCTTCCCCTCATCCTCATACTTCCTCACTAGTTCCATACAATCACAACCCACCTTAAAAGATAGATAAGATCCTATTAACCTTCATTCATAACAACAAAGCACCACATAAGCTGAAAAGTAGAAAACA